ATAGAAAGTGACTCAAAATTATAGTAACATTTTTATACTTGACTGAGCTATAGTCATGTTTGTTATAAAAACATTTAGAGTGCGTCAATTTAAAAAAATAAGTCATAAGGGGTGACGTTCTGCGCATGCGCACCTCACCGAAGTTACTCATCAGTGTGTATTTGATGGTAGTGGGGTGGGTTTGGGGGGGTGTCAAACTTGTCACGTTGCTGCCTTTGTTACTAGGCAACGTCAAGCTCCTTTGATCTTCAAACGAAACCATGTCGTCAGCTGCTCGCCTACAATTAATTATTTCATTACATATATAAAGAGCAGTGAACAAATAACTGACAACTTTTTTAAACCAATTGTGCAGTTACATCCTGATCTGGTCAATAAAAACCTGCATTATTTTTGGCCTTTAAAGTTCACCTGGTGGTCAGAAGRATACAGGCCTCCAGCCTCACCTCAGGTGCAGACCACCACAGTCCTCCCTAGTGGTCTTGTTGGGGAGCAGAGTTGATTCAGAGGCCTGCTGAAACACTGGAAAAAATAAAAAGCCAAAAGCAGCAAAAGCCCTGCTAGAAGCAAAAGTGAATCTAAAAAATAACAATAGTGAGTAAATAAGTAAAGTTTTATTTATAAAGCGCCTTTCACAGAAATACATTCACAAGGTGCTGTACAATCATTAACAGTATAAAACATAACTACACATAAGCAACAAAAATTGAAACATCAAATCAGGAATTAATTTCTAAAATTGTAAATCAAACACAAGGTCAATGCAGGTCAAAATATACAATAATACACAAAAACATAATGAATGCGGGAGAGAAAAATATGGCGTAAGTTCAATAAAAAAGAAAACAGATTGGTGAAGCTGAAGCATTCACAGTGGAGGTAGGCTGGTAGTAATGGTGAATGGTTAGCTAAACGCTTGAGTGAAAAAGTGTGTTTTTAGGAGTAACTAATGTTATTAATGGAGCGCAGATTAAAAGGGAGTTCATTCCAGAGCCTGGGGGCCACAGAGGAGAAGGACCGGTCACCACGGGTCTTAAAGCGAGTGAGGGGAACCATAAGGAGATGTTGATCCTGTGAGCGGAGGTCCCGTCTAGTYTTGTAAGGGGAAATGAGACTTTTAATGTATCCTGGGGCTTGGCCATGAAGAGCTCTGAAGGTGAGGACCAGGATTTTGAACTGGATTCTGAACTGAACCAGAAGCCAGTGAAGTTCAGTAAAAATAACAATAGGCTAGATAAAAGCTAAAATCAAGACAACAGTTAAAGCCAAAATGTGCAAAAGTAGCCAAACACCAGCTAAAATGTAAAAGACGGGCTAGCTAAAAGCAGCAACACTAGCTAAAAGTGAAAACTAGTAATAGGCTATAGCCAAAAAACTTAACAGTAGCTAAATGATCAAAAACAAAACAAATTAAAATTAAAATTAAATAAACTGTAACTGCACATTCAATGCACGTGTATTTGCAAT